ATCCCAATTATCCAAATATTCTCGGGTGTTAATATCTCGGGGTATTCCTTGGTTAGCTATTTGAGTAAACAAATACATAATACAGTCGTTACAACTTGATACACACGTTAATAATAATAATACTATTTGCAATTTACACATGAAATAATTTACCTGATGAAAATCAAATAACTGATCTTTGTCAACTATCTTTTTGAGTGTCACGCGTGTCAATTCATTCGTTGTCCATTCTGCTATATGTGTGCATCCATGGCGTAATGATGTCATCTTTTGTATGTTTATCAACAGGGAATATTCTATCCATTGTATATAGTCATCATATTTATTCTCCACATTACGCCATGACTCCATAATAAATGAATCCAATGACTTGTTGCCCGTAGAGGTTGTGGTGCTTTACATGCATAACAGAATGCATTTATATCGGGGTTTAATTGCCTTGCACACGCCAGACATAATCCACTCCCAGTCCGTTCTTTTATCAGACAATACTTTCGCTTTGCATTGTAAGTAAATCCGATGGTAATCCAAACATCCGTGGTAAGAATACCTGGATGCTCATCACATAACTAGTGGAAATGATACATGATAATAAGTCAATAGTTATTTAAACTATTCAATAAACATGACGCATAAGCAAATAGTTTACCTCGGCATAATATAAATCATGTGTCTCGTCTGTTATCTCAAGTGGAATTAATTTAACAGGTACCCGTTGATCAGCAGGTAGACCATACAAGTATCCGTATTCATATTTCTCATCAATACAGTCAAATGGAATCCATTCCAAATAGTGCTCATTTGCTGAGATTGTTTGTAACTGAGATTTCTTAATAAACTCATCGAGTTGCCTATTGTTGCTAGTCCATCCATGGGATAATTGTTTATGTCCACAAATGCACCACACAGGACTACATCGGAGTATTCCACATGCAGCGCAAAATCCATATCGAAAGTAACAGTGGTAAAACTTTCTATCGGCAACCATATAATATTTATCGTCATACTTGGTGAACCCTTTTATATGTGTGTTGCGACTCTCAAGCCATTCTGCGTATCGTCGAAATCGACTGACATCATTATTGTACTTGTGTGTCGGAAGTGAGTATATTCTAGCGAACTCACTCACAAGTGTTGGTGTGCATTCTTTGTTGTTTCCAAGGAATACCAATATTATCTTATCATTGTGAACAGCATAATAAATGTAGTCAATTTGGGTTGGCTCTACATTGATGATTTTTTCGTAAGAAATCCATTCAAGTCTTAAGTATTTATCTTTACTTTCCAAGGAGGATTGGACCAAGTTGTCAATTGCTGGATTACTAATCCCTGACATCGTTTGAATAAGAAGGTTTCAAGTACAATCACTGAGAAAGTTTATTGTGTTGATCTCAGTTTTCAATGACGACGTGTGAGTGATCGACATTTGAATAAATTATTAATGTGTTCTGGCCCGTAGCGAAATCCAGCCCGATTCGCAATAGGCACATTGTTTAATATCACAACCAATAAGCGGGCCGGCCCGATTTTGCGGCCAGATAATATTTTATTACTATTACTATTACACTCAAAATCTTTCATTAATACATTTCACATGGAAAGATAAACCATACTTTCTCGTCGGCGCCAACTATTGGCAAGCGATGAATCTGTCCATGTCGACAGGAAATAGAGAAAGAGTACTTCAAGATTTGGAGAAATGGAAGTCATAATGTGAGAATCATGGCCGGAAGCAAAGAGGAACCAAAAGTGTATGATGAGAGTGTATTTGAAGGTAAACGGAAAGGCGGATTTTTATAATGATTATTATGTGCTTGTGTATTCAGGTTTGGAGACCGCTACGATGGTTCGTATACTGTCACTTTCTATACTTAACCAATGCGTTACGATGTTTTTATTAGGCGAGATAATCATCTCTTTTCTCGTTCTCTTCCCGTTCTCCTATATTTGCCCTAACTTTTTCATCTCCACTTCCCAAATTCAAGACTCTCAAACTTCTGGCAATAGTCTGGTGGCTTTACACAATACGTATCTCTTGATGCGATTCCACACATCCCCCATTCTATACCCGGCTTCACAGCCTTTGAGCCCTTCGCGTCTCACTTCTATTCCGACCCTTCCATCTATCCTTCTTGCCAGTCACTTTACCAGCATCACATCAGGACAGTCCTCAGACGGAGAAACACCTTTAAAGAGAAATTATACAAGGAAGATCCGTAATATTCACATGGGAGTTGGCAAACGGACCACAAATGGTTTTGGGAGATAATGGGAGAAAGATCGTCAGGACATAAGTCGAAGAAAGTGCAAGGATAATCAAGGATCTGGATGCAAATCACTTGGTGACGACAGGAGCCGAAGGGAAGAATGGAAAGGATTGGAAATGCGCAAGTGCAGCGATATTGGTACGAAATAACATGCAAAGGCATATGGGTAGGGAACATGAGAAAAAGTTGTACTCATAAACTAAAGGGAGGGAGGCAAGGATATTATAGAGTTCAGG